TGCCGGGATCGGGACGACAGCGACTGATGTGATGCTGTCTCTTATACACATCTAGATGTGTATAAGAGACAGCCTTACCTCCTTCCCCTTCCCCTTTTTTCCTTTTCCTTTTTTCTTTTCCCTTTTTTGTGCTCTGATTCACAATGTGACAATATATATTAATTTTTTAAAAATCAGACGTTTATCAGCTGTGCGTCGCAATCAGATTGCGACTTACAGTAATTCATTAAAATCACTCTTGACATCGTGCAGTGCGGTGATCAGTTCCATCGGTTGCCATCTTGCCACTATCGAAAAAAAGAAGGCTTCATTAATTAGTCCTATCAACGTGCTACAAGTTTACAACCCTCTCGCCATACATGTGCACTCTTCATCATGTTCTTTTTCAATCTTCATCATCTTCCTCCAAACAAACGGTGAACTATGTTCGGCACAAGAGGGGGCATTCAAAATATTGCGTCCGCAGTATTCTTCCTTTCCTCTTTCTCTCTCTCACTGCTTCTCTCTCTCTCTCTCTCTCTCTCTGATATTTTGTGACAATATATATATACGATATATAAATATTGTCACATAATATCAGAGCGCCTATATATATATATCATCACATGAATATGAGAGCGCAAAAGCGAAAAAAAAGAACAAAAAGAATGAATTCGTTTTTTTATATCTTCTTCCTTATAACTCCCCCTGTTCAAAACCTCTTGCGTACAAGGCCGCCCACGTGGATGTAGGTTGAGCGGCGGCTGCCCCCAACCCCGTGTGTCATATCGACCCACTTGCACGCAGCCAAAAGGCAAAGAGGCAAAGAAGAGAGGAAGGGAACAGCCAAATAAAACAGAACAGGGGGCAACAAAACCTGAGATCCCAGATGACAAGTCCCACCCACATGCAAGCACCGCCAGTCCTACACAGGCCAAACGATGGGACAAGACCAACCAGGATGTCAAAACGTTCTTGTCTGCAAAGACATCAAAAAAACAGAGTCCCAGATACATATCTATACACAGCAGATGGCCTTTTTCGACTTCAAGAAGTTGGTATTCCTATTCGGCGTCATCGTAAGCAATTCGGGACATCATAAAAAACAATCCTAGATGATGATTCCCACATAAAAGCACCGCCCCCATTGATAGGCCGAACAACGGGAAGCAACCAACTAGGATACCAAAAAGAACCCGGAGGAGAGAGAGCGGTGGTTCTCACTCGCCTTCGCTCTCCATAGTTGGAACTCGAATAGCCGAGGGACGGTCTTGCCAGCCACTCGTTCTAACAAAATACGGGATATCCATTTGATGACACCTCCAGAAAAGAAAGAATTTAACCACTCGCATCTCAAATACTAATAAAGGTACAACCCGTTGCAACTCAGAAAGTTCACCGAGACTAAAAAAAAAAAAAAAAAAAAAAAAAAAAAAAGTTACTGAGATTCAATCCGGGGATCGGGGAAGAGAGAGATTTCAAAAATACCGGTTATTGGTGGTTGATCGGAAAACTATGCGGGCGCAAACACACCCGTGGAAGGGGGGAGAGAGAGAGAGTGAGAGAGAGAGAGATTATATACATTGAGACCACGAATATCTCATTGGTGTTTTCGATGTGTGCGGGCGTAGCCGCACTGGCTTTTACTTGTCTCATTGATATTTGATTATGTCCATGTGTGCGGACGGAGCCGCACTGGCTTTCCGTGTATGTCATTGTAGGTGCCAGGTGGAGCGTGGGAGAGGTTTCCCCGATGGAGCGTGGGAGAGGCAGGGGGGTTTGTCATCGCCATTCCCGGTTGTTGCGGAGCTCTGCTTCTGCTTCGGCAGGGCCGCCTCTCTGGTTGTCATTTGCGATGGTGTGCGGGCTGTTGCTGTGCGAGTGGTACCCCCCGGAGAGAAGTGGATGGTGGGGAATCGCGCTTGCAGAAACTACCACGGCGTCTGTTGATCAGTCTGCTGCCATCCGGATAAACTGTGGTGGGAGAGGGTTCACTGATAGACGGGGGCGCGCCTGGGCGGACGATCGGGGCTTCGAATGGTCGAGTGCGCCATCCGTGGCGGGAACTCTGCCGGCGGGAATCGCGATGAGCGCTGGTGGAGCGGACGATCCGGATGCGATCTATCGGAGCTTCAGAGTGTTCGATCTGTCAAAGGGAGGAACTGCAGGGTACAGGTTTTTGGTAGAGAGCTCGACATATTACGTCGTGAGAGTGCGATTCACTGTGTTCTACTACGACGCCGGGGCTGCGCCCTTGTCATTAGCAGCGGCGAGCGCGGCGAACAACGACGGCGGAGGCGGAGGCGGCGGCGGAGACGGGCGAGTGATCTCTCTGCCTTCTTTTGGTATCGCCATTGAGGGTATACAAGTGGTAGACTTGGTCGTGAGCGAGGAACAAGCCGCGGCGGCGGCGGCGGCGGCGGGCGGTGCAGGGGGGAACGCTACCTGGATCCCTATCGAGAAGGAGTTCTTGATCTACATGCAGAATCGCGGTCTGAAAATTTTGTTCCTGCCATTGTCTGCGACGTCCGCCGCCGCCCCGCCAGCCGCGCCGCCATCTGTGCTTGCGTCATCGGCTGAAGGCGGGGGGAGGTCCCTTGCGCAGGTCAGCGCGATCGAGATTGTGCCTATTGCCGCCCCTCTGGTCGCTGCGCACATGGACTTCAAGGAGGGCTTCCCGTCGGTCCTGCTCCGGCTGGAGCACAGAGTCAACTGCGGCGGTGAGGACGTGCCAGACACGGGGGCGGGCGTCTTCGCCTGGCGCAGCGATCGCGATGTCCGATTCGATCCGCCCACCAGCGCAGCGGTAAACTCCTCGACGACGAGCCTGCTACTGCCTTCCTCCCCATCGTCATCATCGTCATTCTCTGTGGAGGATGAGGGTTACCTCCCGCAAGCTGTGCGCAGCACGGGCAGAATCGCCTCAGCCTCTGACGCCGAACAGGCTCTGCGGTTCGTCTTGAACGTCGAGCCGACGAATATGCGTTCGTTATCCGGCTTCTGTGTGCACACCTATCACGACCTCGCAGTGGGCGGCAGCAACAACGTCAGCGCGGCGGACTTAGCCCTCGTTCGAGAAGGAGTCCAGCCCGAGTCGGCCTCCTGGGTGCGAGTCGATAAAATCGAGGCAACGACTGGCGTGGCCGAGGACTTCTTGACGATCTTGACCGAATACCGACTGCTGCATCATGGCGGCGGCGAGAACCGCAGCAGCAGCAACAGCGGCAGCAGCAGCAGCAGCAGCAGCAGCAGCAGCAGCTTGGTTCTCCAGACACGCCATTGTTTTGCCAATGTCTATGTCGAAAGGAAGACGATCGCGGCATTGAGGGTCACGTTCCGGCCGAGCGAGGAACTGGGATCGATCACCCGCCGTCCGATCGTCAATGCCATCGCCGTTTACTCTCTCTTTCAGAAATACAACAGCAGCACTCTCGCCTCCGCCTTCCAGCAAGTCACCCGCACCTTCGGACTGCCTTACACTTATCTCGACCCTTGTCTCGATCCTCAGCTTTATTTTGTGAAATGCGGTTTCGTCCAGAAGGAAGGGGTGTTGGCGATTCGCATCTTCAACCTCAGCAATGCGGGCTTGCAGGCCACCATTCCTCCGGAAATTGCCGCCTTCGGGCACGTGGAGGAGCTTTACCTTGGCTGGAACGAACTGTTTGGACCCATCCCGACGTCAATAGGGGACAAAATGCAGGAGCTTACCATCCTCGACCTCAGGAACAACTCGCTCAACGGCTCCATTCCTCCCGCCCTCTCCTACATTGTGACACTCCGCTCTCTTTTTGTCGACAACAATCGCCTCGCTGGAGCGATCCCTAGACACTTCTTCGAGATCGAAGGCCTCAATTTCAGCTATGGCGGGAACGCACGTCTCTGCAACCCTTACGAAGACGTTGAGTGTAATGACACCTCTACCTCGCCTCCATGGGGGGGGGGGGGGGGGGGGGGGGGGAGGGGGAAGCGGGACAGGCTTCGGCAAGTGGGAAAAACCTTGGCGGAGCGGAGAAGTCGTGGCCGGCGGCGGCAGCGCCAAGTCCTCAGGCGGCGCCGGCGAGCAAGGCAGGTGTCGTCGGGTGGAAGGTGGTGGCCGCCATTGTGGCGGCAGTGGCGCTGTCTACTACGATGGGTTGTTGCGTGGTGGTGCTGTTGCTTCAGCGAGGGAATACATTTGTCCGTCACACACGGCACAGCCGCCTGGGGAAACCGCGGCACGACGAACGGCGGTTCTCGCCGACACGCGTAGGCGTGTCCGACGGGCTGATCAGGCCAGGGCTTGGCGGCGGCGACGGCGCTCCCGCGCCGCCGCAGCAGCTGGTAGCGGTGCCGCTGCGTCCTCTGCGACCGCCTGGCGCCGGCGGGGGCCCCCGCGCGCCTGCCGTCACCCTCTCCTATCAGCAGTTCTCGGAGGATGAGCTTGCGCTCATCACGATGAATTATCGCTTGAAAATCGGAAAGGGGGGCTTCGGCAACGTGTACAAGGGATTCCTTCAGCCAGGCGGGGGGCCCCCGGCTGTCGCGGTGAAGGTGGCCACCATGGCGTCGAGCCATAACGCGGAGGAATTCCACAAAGAGATCGCCATTCTTTCCCGCCTTTATCATCGTCATCTAGTCCAGCTGATTGGTTGCTGCAGCGACGGCGGGACACGTGGCATTATCTACGAGTTCGTTCCGAACGGATCGCTGCATGATTACCTGCACGGCGGCGGCGCCGCCGATGTACTAGGAGAAGAAAACGGAGAATCCGCCGGCGGCGGCGGCGGCGGCGATGGCGATCGTCCGTGCCGACGGCCGAGCTTGGACTGGAGCCATCGACTAAGGATTTTAATCGGGACAGCGCGCGCCCTCGATTACATTCACACTCAAGTGCACCCGTCGATCATTCACAGAGATGTGAAGTCATCTAATATCCTTCTAGACGATGACTACGAGGCGAAGCTCACGGACTTTGGGATATCGATGGAAATGGCATCGACGGACAAAACGCACGTGACCGCGGAGGTGGTCCAGGGGACGTCAGGCTACGCGGATCCTGAGTACTGCACGTCGGGCAAGGTGTCGGAGCGAGTGGATGTTTACAGCTTCGGTGTCGTCTTGATGGAGGTGATAATGGGTAAGGAGCCACGGAGCAAGTCCATGAACACGGAGTGCGATCTGGTGGAGAAAGCGCGGAAAGCAATCTTCTCCGTCGATGAGGTCGTTAAGCTGGTCGATCCTCGCTTGGCGCAGTGCACGTCAAGTAGCACCTACAAGGCAGAAACCCTCTTGGAACTCGTTCGCCTCGCGGTGTGGTGTTGCCATCGGTCCACCAAACAGCGGCCGTCGATGAGCATAGTCTGCCATACCTTGCAAGATCTGTTCGAATCGGAAGCAGGAGGCCCAGGTGGAATAGGAGGAATAGGAGGAATAGGAGGAGAAACAGGCACCACGAGAAGCGGGTTTGCAGGGAAAAGGGTGCCGATGGCAATACTGCGAGGAGACGTCTTAGCACCGGCGTGATGGGTGGTTGATTAACTCTCTCTCTCTCTCTCTCTCTCTCTCTCTCTCTCTCTCTCTCATTAACTCTCTCTCTCTCTCTCTCTCTCTCTCTCTCTCTCTCTCACACACACACACACACACACACACACAGGCACACACACAGAGTATACCGCCCTTGGCGTCTTCTCGATTAGCATGGTCAATTCCGTCCTTTTGTGGCGCACGTCATTGAAATCGAGTCCACTAGAGGACGGGGAATCGAGTTTGTCAAGCTGGGGATTGGTTCTTTTCCGGCTCATTGAAAACTCTGCTGCTTGGCGGACTCGATTTCAATGAGGAGGAAAAGAACCAATCGCCAGTCTTTTCTCGCTTGGAAGAAATGAGTGGGCGAACGATTCTCCTCTGAAGACGCGACGGTATCAGGGGGGGGTAGTGGAACAACGGTGCATCGTGCATGGCTCGAGCTTGTCCCGTTGCTCGTGTCCTTTGCTGCACCCCCTCTCTCTCCCCTTCTCTGTCTCTGCCGTCATTTTCTTGCTGTAACTGCCAGGCCCCACTTATCAACAACGGGGTGCCTCTTTACCGGATTAAGTTATTAATTAATGTTTTAATTAGTGTAATGTTTGAAGCTCTAGGTAGTTGTACTGTTTGAGTTGACGAGGTTGGTGCTGGGGACGGGCAGAAGAGCGCCCAGGGGGGAGTTCTGCGCTCCTCTCTTTTTTTCTTTTTCTTTTTTTTTTTTTAATAGCAAAAGCCCCCGCCAGTGTTAGTGCTCCTTATAATGGGTCGGAAGCAAACCTTCTGCCGGGATCGGGACGACAGCGACTGATGTGATGTGTACAGTGAAAGAAGTGGTTTGTTCGCCTAAGGGAGGAAGATGTCGATGGGAGGAAGATGTCGATGGGAGGAAGATGTCGATGGGAGGAAGATTTCAATGGTGAGTGAGAGGCGGATTATGGAAGACATAGATGGTGGCAGATATTGATTGATTGATTGATTGATTGATTGATTGATTGATTGATTGATGTAGGGGTCTGGCTCCACTACTCTCGAAATGTGTATAAACGAGAGTGAATCTTCCGCTAGCACATGGGAAGAGATACACCGCCATGAGTTTTGTCTTTTGTGCATGTGGAGAGTTGTGGTGGAGCGAGGCCCGTACTAGTCTCCTATCCTATGGTGTGAGGCTGGCTGATCTGCGTTACCCTCTGGATGTGTTAAACAGCGAGTGCATCTTCAGCTGGGAGGTGGAGGTGGAGGTGGAGGTGGAGGTGGAACGATACATTCAGCTCATCGAGGGCTACTAGCCTGGATGTTCAAAGGACAACGCAAAGCTCTTATGGCTCTCCCCACTTCACCTGTTCTTCGCCATTCTTGTCGTCGTTTTGTGTATTTTTCAAGTCTGCCAACCGGTGGAGCGAGGCCCGACACAATACATCAGGAGAAAGAGAAATTAATTAAGAGACAGGGAGAGCAAGATTCTCCCGAGCGCGCTCGACATGAAAAGCACTGAAACGGCCTCAGAGTCTCCATGTTCTCGAAATGCAACATTCTCACGACATGAATGAAGCCCTGCTAGAGGGGCAGAGGTACCGACGAGGCCCCGACGCGCCAATGCTGGCCTCGTCAGGGTCATCGCCGAGGTGGTGAGATTCAGAGGTCATTAGGGGTTTAGGATTAAGGAGAGTGGTTACTAAATATCTGACGTGGCGTTAAACTACCACTGCCCCGGACGTCAAGAGACTCTCCAGAAAACGCATTCTGGCCTTGTCGCACTGTTCAAGGCCAGGGTCGGAGGCAGGTCAGGTGGCAAACGTACACTTGTGGGAAAATATACTTACACCGGCCTTGGCGCGCAATCCAAGGCCAGGGTCGGAGGCAGGTCTGGTGGGAAACGTACT